AACGCTATGCTTGAAATCACAATGATCTCGTCAGGGAAGTCCATTCATTTTTATGTGCTTGGCTATATACACTTGACTCACACACTTTGAGCAGATGGATATATTTAGCTTGTGACGACTGCAGGCGAGGGAGAGGGAGGGAAAAAAGAAAAAAAAAAATCAAGTGATGCAAACAGCTACCGTACGCTCCGGAAAATAATAAGGCCTCACGCAGCACGCCAAAGTGCAATGTGTAGTTGTGACAGGACAAATATGCCTCCTTATTAGCCTGCATTGAGGGAAACCTGCTAGCCGTTTTACATGGGGTAATTGGAATGTGTCTATTTTGATTCAACCACAAGGCCTGCGTTATAAAAATACTCCAGTGAGATTCATCCCCGGTTATCTGTACACCACGACACTCTGAGCACAACAGGCCCCCCTTGCTGCAGACCGACTCCTGCCGGCCCCTGTAATATCTCACAGTAATTATTTCACTTGCTTAAACAAAATAATCCCTTATTTCTCTCAACATGAATGCGCTGCAAAACACTTTTCTCTGCGTCTTCCTACAGGAAAAAGCCATCAGTAGTGTAAGGTGTCTGCTTTGGCTGCTCCACACAATTGCCAACCCGTATGGGAATGGCAGCAGTGAATGGCGCGGTGGACAACCCCCCGCCACTATTGACGGTATAAACATGTAAATGAAACACATTACCACTGACAATCAATTGTCCGCAAGCGCCCTGCGAAACCTGCCCTCCTCCTCCCCTCTCTTTTTTCTTCTTACCCCCCTCTTTGCTCAGTGACGATGGCAAAAAGCTGCCTCTACCTTGAGGAGGGAAAATCTGGGAGAAAGAGGAGGGAGGGAGGGATGGAGGGATGGAGGGAGGTTGGATGGGACATGGCAAAGAGGAGGGGGGGTAAGAGAAGAAGGTGAAAAAGAAGAAGAAAGGGAGCACCTTGTCTTACCCCCCCCCCAGCCTGCCTATTTTCTACCGCGGGAGCTGCGAACACAACTTTAAAAAGACAGAGGAATAATGGAGATGGACAAATTGTTTAGACTGGCAGAAATCTGGCATTGTCTGTGTCTGAAAGCAAGGCTATCCCCCCTCCCACACACACACACACACACACACACACACACCCTTTCCCCTATTTTTCATCCACCTTAAGCGTGAATCTGTGATAGCCTTAATAACACATCCAGACTATTATATCAAACTCCAGCAGCCAGAGAGAGAGAGGGGGAGATTGGCCTCGTCTTTCTGCTTTCTCTTTTGCTGCTGCTGCTTCAGATTATGTAATCAGTGCATTTCCGAGGGTATGTCCCGACACCGAAATGTCATCTGGGGTACGCAGGAAAATCAAAAACGCTGGGTGACGCTGAATTAAACGCTTACAGGAAACACTCTAAGAAAAATTATGAAACATCTGTTTTTCCCTCAAACAAATACAGCCACAGTTTGATGCAAAGACTCTGAGCAACATCCAAATTAAAAACATGATTACAAAGCCCTAAAGATTTTTTTTTCTAAAAAAAAAAAAAAAAGGCATGTTTTTGATGTTTGTGCTGGTTGAGTAATAAGAAAATAAGGACAGGTGTGCAAGCTCTTTTCTGTTGGGCGCTCACAGCTGGATGTGACAAGCAACACCTGGCGAGGGCCAAACTCTCAAACACTTCACGCTGCCGAGATCAAGTTTCACACCAGGAGAGGAGAAGGGCTTTTATAGCGGTTTAACAGTGGGGAGCAGGATGATAGAAAAAAAATGTAATTTCTCAGGTTTCGTTGCTTTACAATATTGCTGCCATTTCAGAGTGCATCAGCTGTAAGACAGAGGCTTCACAGCGGCGTGCAGGAGGTTTGGATGAGGAGGGGATAAGTCATGAACTGTGGTTAAATACCACATGACAGGCTGGGCAGTGAGTGAGTAAAGCTACTGTAGCACCTCCAACCCTGAAGGCCAACAGTCATCTGGATGAGAATGTCATTGGTTAGACAACTTAGTGAGCAAATGCCTCATTAATACTAATTGGCAAGAATGCAGAAATGCCCCTTCCATTTTGAAAAAAAAATGTATCCTAACAATTCCAGCTATTCTATCTGTGAGGATGCACTGAATGAAAAATTCTATCAGATCAAAATATTAGAACACCGAGCCTCGACTGCTTAAATAAAACATAAAAACTGAACCAGATGTAAAACATTTAGCAATTTTTTAAACAAAAATAATTACAGGTGGCTCACAAATTATAATTTACATCAAAACATGCTTGCTGAAACACCACCACCTCCAAAAGCCATTCAGCGAAATTAGCTGTAATTGTTCATATTTCACATTTGTGTATGTTCATCTGATTTGTTAGTTAAGGGACGAGAGAGGGAGTCTGGGTGCATCCGCCCTCCATCTGGTAAAAGAATTAGAAAAACACCCTCTGTGTGCGACTGTGCACGCTGCATTTTTTGGTGCATTCGAGGCGTTTTGTTAGTTCCTGCTTAGAGGAGCCTGTCCTGCCGGCCGTCACACGCTTCGCCCTGCCCTGCCCTGCCATCCCTCCACAGAGCCAGGCAGGAAGAGGACAGAGAGACAGGCAGAGAGACAGAGAAAGGAGAGTGGCCAAGCCTCAATAAGCCTCTGCATTCCCAGGGGGGAGGATAGGGGGTGAGGAGGGGAGGGGAAGAGGAGAGGGGGGGGTAGGGGGGGGGGTATCATCAGACAGAGCTAGTTGTTATGGAAGAAAAAAGGAAAAAGACGACTCACATTTCACATTTTAAAACTAAAATGAAATCTATTTTTTAATGTACACTCTCCTGGATGAGAGAGTGACTACGTTTTTATAAGAGATAAAAATATTCTTTACACACACTGCCAAAGCTTGCCGTCTCTTGTCAGGTTTAAGGGTGTGAAAATTATATTTGCTTTGCTAATATTTTTTTTATAAAATGCTGCATTTGGTACAAAAGCCAAGACTGCTTTTCTCCCTCTTGCTCCCCCCTTTACTAAACAGGTGGCCACAGCTAAACAGGCTGTCATATCTCTAAATGTGTGTTATTATTCTATTTTTCTTTTAAGTATAAATACTGCAAATGTACACACACACACACACACACACACACACACACACACACACACATATATATATATATATATATATATATAGGAAATCTCCAGCTCCACTGTTATGCTCTTGTGCTATTTAATGTGGAACAAAATGCTTGTCTGCTATTGATTGTGTGAAATCAATAAATGAAATCTGATCTAGATAAATAACCTGTGGGGGCAGAGATTTAAAAACTGTTGTGGAGAAAGCAAATAAAAGCCTCATCTGAGCAGCTGAATCACAGCCTCTATATTCTACACACACACACACACACACACACACACACACACACACACTGCTTCACCTCGCCAGTGTGTTTGGAGCCTATATGGAATAATCAGGAATAACGGGGCCAGGAAATGTCACTGCAGATTTGCCTCTTGTGGGAAACTGTGCAGTCAAATGGAGAAAGAAAACCAACAAATCTCCACCTCCAGCGCTCCAGTCCAGACCCAATTAATGTCCAGCATTTATCGGACATGTCATCCTATTTATACATGGTGCTCCCACAGCAATAAACTTAGTGATAAAGGTAAACAAAACGCATAGGTTAAAAAAAACATACAGCAACAACCAAATGCCATCTCTTTAGAATTATATCACCACTCTGCTTGTCCCGGAAAACGGACACAATGTGGGGGTAAATCACTTGAAATTGTGTCTTGTGAAGGTGATGTAAAGGACTATATAAAGACAAAAACATCACGGCCGGCGCATGCCAGCGCGTGGTTTAAAGCAAATCCCAACTCAAGTCACAAGATTGGACTTTTACACCGAGCAGCATGAGTCTGCCCCAGCCAGCGATGGTCTGAGTGACCGTTACACAGTCGCCCCATGGCGGATATTGTCCCGGCGAGAAACGAGCCCGGCACCGCTTCGCTCCAACTTTCCTACATCCACAAGTTTCCAACTAACCTCCTTGCAGCCGTCCCAAAATAAAGCCCCGAAAACACACATTATGAAACCGGTATTTTTTTGAGATTTCAAAGGTTCAAGTGGGGCTGCAACACTGATGCGTTTACGCACAGTTTCTCTCCCGGGTAGCGGTCCCTTTATCCCTGCGTAAATGGGAAAGGCAGAAATGCGCACCAGCCGCGGAGCCTCACACACCCCCGACCCGCAGTGGAAACCTTCAAACCAGGCTTCCATCCAAAGATATCCCCTCCCCGACTGCTAGGCTTGTCTCCCCCGTGCTTTTCTTACCGTTTTTCCGTCTCGGGTTGGCTTGTTTTCGCCTCTTACACCTCGGGCCATCCGCCATGATCTCTTGCTTCATTGATAAGTGTGTGTGGGATCAGATGGCAGCTCGCATGGACTCGATTCCTTGATTTCAGCTTGATATCTGACGGGAAACACACACACACACAACACACACAGAAGCACCAACAATGTGGGTATTAGCGTAGAGATCCACTTGCGCCGGACGCGCGACAAGAAACTGCAAATGGAACTTGGATGGAGGGACAGATAAAAAAAGAGCCGTTGGTGAAAGTATGAGAAGGAGCGGAGAGGGGATCCGTGTCCATCTAATTTGGATTTTCAACTGATCGGCTCTCAGCTTTGTGGCATTAACAGCAAAGCAAACAGCAGCAGGAGGAAGAGAATTGTCATTTCTCTCATTAGAAAAACCATAATTCATTTCTCCAGTGAGGATCGCAGAGAAAACATGATACTTACTGTTAATTCATTCAGAAAAGTTTCACAATCCGGTTGGTATTTTTCTTCACTTTTTAAGATAAATAAATCACCTACTTATTTTAATTTAAACTGGCAGCGTTTGTTCACATTTTGCGCGTATAGTCCTGCTTTGGCACAGAAGGCGAAACAGGTTAATAAATCAAATTTCTGTCAAATTTTAGGGTCAAACCAAGAGCTCACACGTTATGGACGGCGAAAGCGAGAATGAGCCTCAGCTTGTACTGAGTCCTCACTGTGTGGTCTGATTAAAAGTCATAGAACTTCAATAAACACTTGGGTTCGCCAGAGAAAATTGCACTTCTACGTTTAATAAACTGAATCCAAACCCTCCTGTCAACAGCTAATAAATACCAGATGGGGAATAATTGTCAAAATGTGCCAAATGACTCCGGAATGGAAGAAAAAAAATCTTTAAGCAACAAATCACGCATAAACAAAAGCGATAAGATTCAGATCGCCAGTGTGGGATGTTCGGTTCGCCAGCTAATTTATCAGCGCAAATACCGTTATTAGGATAAGTGAATATTGACATAGGTTGTGTTTGTTGTGGGCACACAGACAGACACTAATATAAGACAAGCTGAAGAGACTTAGAAAGAAAACGGGATGCATATCGTCTTTTTTTCCTCCCAAGGATAGCAGTGCTGTGCAGCGTCAAACGCCCCGCAAAAAGCCCATTTTCCCGGCTATCAGGAACCTACAGGACGCCTCTGACACCGCGGAGGTGAAAAAAGGAAAAACAGTGAAAACAAACGCACCTATTTCCACCTGTGCAGGTAAGGCGAAGTTGAGCTCCAACTCTGACGCGGGCGAGTGGAAGTTTAATGTCCAACCTTTCTCCGAAAAAATGCGAGAAATAAAAAGTGAGGAGGAGGCACATACCTGTTTTTAGGGGGTGTAAAGAGGTGTCCTGTGGATAGGAGTTGCGAGGAAGGATGATACCGGAGCGCGTCGGTGAGCGGATCCTTTTCCACCGGTGATAATAAAGCCTTAGAAATAAAGCCTTAGAAATAGTTGGGAGGAGGGAGGGACCGCTATTCCTGCTAGGGCAGGTTTACAACTGATGTCTTACACCCACTCCAGGAAACAAACCTGGGTAGGGACTGACGTGTTACGCCTCTTCTAATGACATTTTTTTTCTTTCCACCTCCTTTTCTTTGCCGTGTAACACAGAGGAGAAGCCCCCTGAAACGCACGCCACCTATCTTCACGGGAGGGGATAATTGAGGAGAGCCAAACGTGAGCATCTTCTGGGTTGAACGTGAAGTTTTTTTTTCTCTTCCTCCCTCTCTCTGTCTCTCTCTCTCTCCCCCCCTCCTCTTCCTCCTCTTTTCTTTCCCTCAGTCTCCTCTCTCTTTCTCCATCTCTTCTCTTTTTGAGTGAAACCAACTATGTCGGGCTTCGACGCGGAGCAAAGAACAGGCGACAGTGTGTGTGTGTTTTTTCTCTCCATTTCTGTCTCTCTCCAGTGTGTGTGTGTGTGTGAGTGTGTTAGTGTGTAGAAAGGGGGGAGAAACTTGGAGCGCGTCCACGCCGGCCGCAATCATGTAAGGATTTTTGCTTTATTTCTATTTCCACTCCGTTTAATTTGCAGAAATGGCAGGCTTGATACGGCGGGATGCAGGAGAGGGGCTGGGGAGGCAATTCCACATATTCTTCATTATTGTAATTGGCTGCGACTGCAAAAGGTTTGGGGATGTTCGGCTTTTATCTACGCTGCAAAAAATGTCCGCCTGGTCGCTGTCATTTACTGTAAAACATTGTTTTTTTCGCAAAAAAATCTGCATGTGTGGGGATGGTTCCTCTTGTTTCCTCTAGAAATCAACGTTTTCTTGTGTTGAGCTTAATTTTCTTACCGTCGGAAGATTTATTTAATTTGTTGTAATTTCACTTGTTTTTAGGGAATTTATTGGAGAACATTTGAAGTGTTTTTAACACGAGTTCCTCGGCGCATTTAGCAGAATTCGTGTTTGGATTTTTTGTGAAATATTTGATTTTAAATAAAAAAAAAAAAAAAAACAAGTTCACATGGACTTTTTTGCAGCGTAATAGTAAATAATTGTTTTATTACCTGTGATGTACCTGCAGCATCAACGCGTGCTGCAGGTACATCAATGCCTCTGTGTGTGTAATAGAAGTGCATAAAGTCCACATACAATTACACTCCGGAGGGAACAAATACATTTGCATTTTTGCTTCTGCTTATTTGCACAAGTCAATTTTCCAATTGCACCCCCTAACGAAAACCAACCAAAATGAATCCTAAATAAATGTGGGGCATTATACAGATATGACTGCACAAACTACAAGCCAGCAGTGACAGATATGACTGCAGGAATATTGTGATGATACTAAAGGAGGTTAAAAAAAAATACCATAAAGTACAATAAAGTGACTGTAAAGTCACTACAGAGAGCCGCAGACACACTGCGAGTCCCTGCAGGAATATTAGAGGAATATCACAGGGATATTCCAGGATTATTAGAGTCATTTTTCGTTCTGGACGCCACTTAACAGGATGAATCTCGCATTTATTAAAGAAGTCAACCATCTTCAGCCATGTCTGAGACAGAGAGAGAGAGAGAGAGAGAGAGAGAGAGAGAGAGAGAGAGAGAGAGAGAGAAAGCTCCACCTTTGCAGCGCCGTGATTGGTTATGTAAATAAAGTATTATTTTGTGTCCTGTCCTCCTGCAGTTCGCCACTGTATGGCTAATTAAATCATCAATCAAGGGGCTGAACTGGTTTATGCCCCCCCTCACACACCCCCTCCAATCCTTATTCCAAAAAAACAAAAAAAACAATCAGATGCAGCAAAAAGAAATCACAGACCAACAGAGTCTTAGCTTTTGATAGGGATTTTCTATATAAACTGTTTTTTTAGACTTCGGTTTTTGAGGTTTTATAATAATAATAATAATAATCATAAAATGTTTAATTATTAATATTCAGATAACAATAATTGTATTATTGTTACTATTATAATTATTATTATTATCTAAATATCTTCAACTTTGTTTCCCTCCAACTTGTGGACCGGAGGACTCAGCCAAGGACTCAGTTCCAAATTGAGTTTTTTTTGGTAAGTTTACCTTATTCTCTTTAGTATTTGAATCTTTTTCCATCCCGAAATTTAGTCATTTTTTTCTTTTCTTCTTATCGATCAACAATGAGGAGGAGGAGGAGGAGGGCAGAAGCGGGGTGAGGCTGCTCTGCCTCCCGTTTTTCTCGGGTCGAAAGTGGATCCAGTCCTGGGTGAATTATTGTCATGCGTAATTTACTGCCACGGTGCTTGCATGTAAACGAAGCAGTCCAGCAAACCCTCTCTCTCCCTGTCTCTCACTTACACACACACACACACACACACAGACACAGACACACTCTCTCTCTCTCTCTCTCTCTCCCTCTCTCTCTCTCTCCCCACACACACACACACACACACACACACACACACACACACACACACACACACACACACACACACACACACACACTCTTGAACCGTAGCTCTGCGTCCCATTCATCCATGCGAGCCTGGAGTGGCACCTCTCGCCTTTTTTTTTTTTTTTTTTTACGCACACAGGCTCTCCTACGTGGGGCCGCATGTTCACCGTGAAAACGGATTACAGTCGGTGTGTGACCTATAGGGGGACCTTGTGTTTAATGAATATATCGATTTAAATGAGGGGAGGGGGTACCAAAAACAACATGTGCGCATGGATTCATATTCATATTTCTTTTACATTTTTTGGATTGTTAATTAAAAGAACAAGATGTTGACGCACAGTTGTTAGTGTGATTAAATTAATTATGAGGAAAAGATTGTTTGTAATGTTTTGGGGAAAATTGTTATTTATGAGGTGAACTGTCAACTAAAGCAGGCTGACAGGTTTGTAATTAGTTACAAATAATTCCTAATGAATTGTGGTTATTTTTAACTGTATGGCTCAATGTCTCCTCTGTGTTTGTATTTTTTCTCTAAATAAAAAAATGGAAGCTTTTGCAGCACATTATCCTCCGTGGCTTATTTTCTCCAGTTGAAATGTTTGCCCCAGAAAAATCAATAAGTGGAAATTCACTTGGGTTTAATGGTTTTTAATGTCCAACACCTAAATTGGAGCTCTGTAGTTCTGCAGCTGTCTGCCTCAGGCATGACTGCTGATTACCAAGATTATAATCCTAATTTTCTCTCCCTCTCTGCCTCATGTGTTGTGTGTGTGTGTGTGTGTGTGTGTGTGTGTGTGTGTGTGTGGAAGAAAGGCCCACTTTTAGTTTTTTGACAGCATAAACACAAACACGGCGGTGCGGCGGGGTTGTAGGAATGTTTCGTAGCATTTAGAGAATGTCAGTCTAATTACGACTTCTGTTTGTACGTACTGTAGTCAAGTTACAGAGCAGGCAAATACACTCACCACTAAATTGTGTGTAGTGTGTCAGCTGCTGTTACTGAATGTCTTTCAATGTCCTTCAAAGTTTATGCGACAGCAAAGATCACCAGTTTAGCTCGCTGGATCTTAGAATATGAAAATCTGCTCATCATATTGTTGTTCATGCACAAGCTTTAAATTCAACATCTACGTCAGAAGCAAAGAAGCAAAAGTAAGGAGGTCAGAGGTCACTGTAGCATAACAGTATCCTTTGGAGAAGGCTTCACTTAAAGGATTTTTGCAAATTTATTTGGGGTGAATTTGTCAAATTTGATCTACAGGTAAGATAATGCCAACAATGTTTCTCTTTTTCTCCATCGTTTCCTGTAAATGTGTGAAATCAACTAAAACAGACCTCAGATCACTGTACCGTGTTAAAAGGCTCAAGTGAAACCTGGAATAGCAGCAGGTTTCATTCCAGAGTGAAATAAGATCCCCACTTAAATCAGGTCAACAGTCAAACATCTGACCGTCTCATAGCTGATATTTAATAAAAAGAACATTGGCCCTGTGATACTGCCATATGAAATACATCCTATGATTATATAGAATAAATGTTTTTATCATTGTGTTGTGTTTTTGGAGCCCTTACAGTCAAATAAAACGAGAGTGAGAGAGGAGGAGAGAGAGAGAGAGAGAGAGAGAGATGCCACAGCAGAACAAGCCTCAGGACTGAAACACAGTTGCATGTACAGTATATGCTGTGCATTCAACAACTCAGCCGCCAGGCGTCCCTGATTATTGGCCTAATTTAGATCTGAGAGAGTCACATGACATTGTGGTGCATCCAGTGATGAATCTATGCCCAGTCTCTCGATAAAAAGCACCCAGCAGCTCAAACAAAACCTGTGACAATGTGGAGAATATTCATCTTCATAATTTGTGCTGAATGACTTTGTGACATTAAATTCAAGACTTTTAAGGCCTCGCTTGCTTAAAACAACTCCTGGTAAAAAGGTTTATTTCCTCCACACATGAAGCACAGGTGTAGGGGTATTTATTCTAACATACCTGTGTCTCCCAGATCTGGTCACCAGGATGCCAGCGGCCCTTTTCCTGCTACAGGTCGTCATCAGAGGGCTGTAGAATACACTTCCTCGAGGATTTTCAAGGATTATGTGGATGAGGTTTTGCTGTTTCGAGGGTGGTGAAGTGTCCTGTTTTTAGGAAAAATAAACATTTTGATTTTAGAGATTCAGATAGATTTTTTTAAACAAGACTACTTCATTTTAAGTGTAACTGCAGATTAGGTTTAAGCTCCTGTAAACATTACACATAACCAGCAGTGAGGAGGTCAAAGGTCAAAGTAACACAGAGCTAGACGGATGTGGCTGCAAGTTATATGATACTAACACTGATGTCTTTGCCTTGAGGCTGCCAAAAGCTTATATATTGTGCCAACAGTTAATATTTTAATTGTTGGCACAAACAAATCTGACACTTTTCCAAGCCAAACAATGATTCAGCTTTTCTTCCAGAGTTTCATTCTTATCAGGATAAAAACAACTTTAAACAGAATTTTCTCCAACATGGGAAACAAACTCTCTGAAAAACTGAGGCATAAAATAATTCAGGATGGGTTAGCAGCTCTTTGAAGTGTGTTTCATTCATTAAAACACATATTTAATATCAATAAAATATAATGTATCCTTGCCTTCTTTCTTAAATGGAATCTGATCAAAATCTGACATCAATATAAAGTCAGATGATACTTTCTAATAGATAACAGCTGTAGTTATAGCTCCACTCTGTGCATTTTTACAATATGTTGTAAAATATAATGTATACTGTATCATATCAGACCTGATCAAAGAAACTAAGAGGCATCAGTCCCTAAAGATCTGGTTTGAAGGACATGGAGACATGGAGGGGCGGATGCACAGCCTCATTCGCCAACATTAACTCATTGGAAACCTTGAAGAATTCAGATTACTCCTCTATTTTCTATAAGTCATCAGAAGAGTAACACACACCCTTCCTACAGCATCATGTCCTCATGTGTTGGGTGGTGAGGCTTCTCTCAGCAGTTGCATCATGCATGCTTTTGACATATGACATCCCTCAGACGTGAAGTAAGAGGGGATTGTTTTTTTCCTTTAGGTAAAATGCGTCATCATTATGATTCAGAGTTGCCCACAGCACAGATCATTTTGTGCTGTTTTTCAACATTCTCTATTGATTTCTCCAGTAGATGTTGAGTGATGAAGTAAGTTCATAAAATGATATATTTATGTTTTATTAATTAGAGTGTATAGAGAAAAACAAATTTAGTTTTTACAATCAGCCCTCAGCTGAAGGAGTTGGTGTAAATACAATTGTAAACACTTCATGTGATGTAGAAAATCAAACAAAGCTGGCTTGACCAGAAAGTGGGTCTAGAAAAAGAGGAGGGACCTTTTGAAAATCCACTGCTGCAATTCAAAACAGCTGTCAAGTGACTGTAGCTCAGCCTCTCGAGTGTTAAACCCTCAGCATAAAGTTTGTGCTTTAGCCCTGAAAGCAAGTTTCGCCTCTTTTTAATTAAAATAACGGTTGTTGCTGGCGTTCAGAGGTTTTGAATGCATGACAGAGAAACCGTAGCATCCTAGATCACATCTCCTTCTCTGGCTTCTCTCTGCGCTTGTTTGTGGCTCTTCCAGCGCTGCAACATCAAACTCAACATCTCTCCACGGGGTTTGGCTCTGTGATAGCCACCACAAGAGCCTCAACGCCACAACAACTCTAGAGATTGACGGACAATTAAAGACCAAGAGGCGAAGGCTGCTGCGTGTGATCTGCGAGAGCTCCTCAAACATGCAAAATGAATTTAGTTTACATTTGCCATGAGCAAGAGAGAGGGGGAAAAAAAACCCTCTCTTCTAAGTATTTCTGATCTCTCTCAGTTGGACAAGGAACCTAGCAGAGAGAACAAGGATGCTGCATAGCAGATTGCTGCAGAAACAAATGCTTACACCAAAAAACTATTGATTTTTTATGTTGTTCTTGTTAGCTGAAAACCGTGCAGAGGCTTCTACAAATGAACACTTATTCGACTGAGACACTTACAAGAAAAAGACATATAATGTGTAAGGCATTTTTTTTTTCTGCTTTTCCTGTGGAAAGAGGTCAGATACTTTGTGGCTTCCAAAAAACAAGTTGGGAAAGACGACAAACTCAGTCAAACTTTTATTCTACCTAATACCTCATTTTTTATGCTTTTGATTTCTGGCCTATTTTTTTGATTATGATTTTTGGGTTTATGGCATCAGTGTTTCCCGGCAACAAGCAGTGCGATGAATCAATATTTGAAATGTAGAAATGGTGTCAAAGTTATCAATTAATATGACTATGCTGTTTTCAAAGTTAACTTTCATGTTCAATTAGTATGTTGTTACTTTTCCATTATCACTATCTCCTAATATATGTGAATGTATGTGAATGTATAAGATGTAATGTAGTGAATTACATTTGAACAGATGTAATTAGGTATTCACAGTTCACACACTTGCTGCATGTTCAAAGACTATGAGAAAAGGCTCAGAGGACACCCTCCCTCCCTCCCTCCTCCCTCCCTCCCTCTCTCTTTCCTGTATTGACTGCTGGCATGAAAGTGAAGCTCCTTATGTGTTAGTCTTAACATTCGGAGTCATCTCAACACATTTTCCTATAACACAGACCTTCTTCTGAGGGTTTAAATATTACCTCAGCTGTCTTTTTTCCCAGTTGCCAGTTTATTAAGTACACCTAGCCAAAGCTACTCCTGCAATAAAGCTTACCATCAAGAATGTAAAGAGGTGTTGATTCAACTTTATTTTTACATTTCGGAGGAGGACATTTTGTGATAGTGTTGAATCATATTGAACTATACTGAAAGGTGTTTCTGGTATTTTGTCCACTCCATTGATATGAATGCAGATAGACTTAATATTACAACTATTTCTACAGGATGGCTTTCAACCTTTAATAATTTGTTAAAGTTGAAGCGCTTATGCATTTAGGTCTCTGTTCTTAATAGTAACTTCTTAAAAAAGTCAACTTTTTTTGACAGTTGACAGTAAAGAGAGAGACTAGGCAATGAGGACACTAACTGATTTATTTTAAACAGAAGTTAAAGCCTTTAAAATGATCAGTAGTTCAACTAATCATTAGCAGAAATGTACCAAGCATCTTGGACACAGACAGAAAGCAATATACACATACACATATGTGTAATATGATATGTGCGGTCTAACTGTCTAATGCCTGATCCAGTTGCAGTCTCTGTACCAGCGCCACCAAAACAAATCCTGCACATTTACTGTACTTGACAAATAAAATGGTTTTGATTGGGATTCTGATAGATCCCACAAGAAAACTTTTTACTCTGAGAAGAAAAAAACAGCGACTTATCGCTCGCTGAAATGAATAATTGACGCCGTCTCCAATGAATAATTAATCAAACATTTGAATAATTGTTGTAGCTCTAATCTCGACAGACATTTGCATATCGGCATGCTCTTAATATCTGCCACTGTATATGAGTTTACATCCTCTCAGGACACAAAGATTTAAATTAAAAGATCTAACTTACATCTGCAGAAACCTTGTCCGGCTCTCAGAGATTTCCC